CCTCAGCCCTGAACCCTGGACCCTACACCCTCAGCACGAAACCCTGAACCCTAAATGCCCTAAACCCTGCCCTAAACCCTAAACCGTCAACCCTAAACCTTAAACCCTCAACCCTGTAAACCTTGAGCCCGGGACCCTCAACCCAAAGCCCCAGATCCATATAGATTACTGTTGAATCCCTTAAAGGAGCCCTTAAAGGGCCCCCTTAAAGGGACCCCTGAAAGGGACCCCTTAAGTTAAAGGAACCCTTGAAGGAACCCCTCAAAGGAACCCTTCAAAGGAACCCATTAAAGGACCCCTACACCCGAATCCCCAGCCCCTGAACCTTAAATCGAAAACCTTAAACCTTAAACCCCAAACCCTAAACCCTTAAGAAACCCCCCCTTACAGGCGCCCTTAAAGGAAGGCCAGAAAATCTCCGAAGCCTCGTGCGAAAAGGAGATGCTCAAAGACCTGGCTGTGTCCGACGCGGTTCGGGCTTCTGAGGTGGGCTGCGGCCTTTTTTCGCGTCGGTTTAGGGTGTGTAGGGGGTTTAGGGTTTAGGGCCGTTTAGGGGGTTTAGGGGTTGGGGGTTTAGGGGTTTGGGGGTTTAGGGTTTGGTGTTTTAGGGTTTAGGGATCAGGGTTTAGGGTTTAGGGGGGTTCAGGGGCATTTAGGGTCTACGGCGTTTCCATCACAAGGTTTCTTGTCACGCCTCGCCCGGTGTGCCGGGCGCATGCAGAAAAAGATGCAAGCGTCGCCGATGCCACTTCGCGACGGCTGGGAGTTTTTCGAAATCCGGTTGAAGCCAGGCTTTCTGTACGCATTCGACGGCGACCAAGTCGTCTCGGATCCACGGCTTCTCGCTGCGTTGGTCTTGGACTACAGCGAGGATTCGGGTGAGACAGCAAAGCCGAATCCTTTCAGGACTTTCGGGCTGTCCTCCGAAAAGGATCAAGAAGATCCGTGCGAATCTCCTCACTTCATACGCGAAGGTGCTGAGGAACGCTGCCCCCTTCGCATCCCTAGGCTACAAGCCCTGAGCGCTAAATCCTGAACCTAAGAACTGCCTGTCCTAAACCTTACCCACCCAACGCCAAATTCTGATGCTCTAACCCTTGAGCCCTTGAATCTCTAGACCCAAAACCACCACACGTCCCAAACCCCAAGCGCGTCCTACACCCCAAAACCCCGACGCCCTAAAACCCTAAAGCCCCAAAAAGCGAATCAATCCCTTCAACTTTCAACCCCGACGCTCGTAGCCCCAGCTCAAACCCCCAAACCCAAACTCATTGGGTTTAGTCCGTATATCGTGATAGCACAACATACCCTAAAGCCATGCTTTGGACTTTTGTGTCCATCTATGTAAATTGAACCCTATAACACCTGAATCCGGATCCTTTTTAAGCCTGAGTTTACTTAAACATCCGCACAACATCGGCCCAGTCTTTGTTATAGGTCCCTTGTGGAACCCTTATACATCCCTTTAGAACCCTTGAAAGGAACCCCTTGAATGCACACCCAAAACACCCCAGAGCCTAATTCATTATTCTTATCATCATTGTTATCATGATTATTACGATTTATTATGATTCTTCCTGCTACTATTATACTTCTACTTCTACTTCTACTTCTACTTCTACTTCTACTTCTACTTCTACTTCTACTTCTACTTCTGCTTCTGCTTCTGCTTCTGCTTCTACTTCTACTTCTACTTCTACTTCTACTTCTACTTCTACTTCTACTTCTACTTCTACTTCTACTTCTACTTCTACTTCTACTTCTACTTCTGCTGCTGCTGCTACTGCTACTACTGCTACTCCTACTACTACTACTACTACTACTACTACTACCACCAGCACCACTACTGTACTAGTGATACTAGTAGTACTGTTTGTACAAGAGGTATTGCTAGTAAGTAGTACTGCTGACAATACTAGTACTAGTATGAGTCGAGGAGTAGTAGCAGCAGCAGTACGCTGAGGATTGGGATGTTCTGTAGGTTTTGGGGTTGTAGAGTCACTGTTTGCGACCGCGGCGAGGGCCCCGAAACAGGGAACCACCTCAAGAATTGCGCGGAGCGAGCCTAGCGTCGCGGATCATATCTTCTGTTTCCCGATATACCCTGAACTCGACATGGGCATTTTTCAGAACATCCTTTCTGGAGTCCCAAGCAGAAGTCCTCACCATACTAAAGGAAACCCTGAATTCTCAACATTATGAAGAGCTTTGGGAAGTCCCTGTAAACCTTGAAACCCTAAACTCCAAACCCTAAACCCCTAAACCCTAACCCCCTAAACGGTAATACTAAAACCCTAAACGCTAAACCCTCAAGCCCGAAACCCGATATAAACCCGAATCCCTTTCCTTCGGCCTTCGGGGCATAGGCTGGCCAGCCAGCCTTGCCGGCGCAGAACGAAGTGCCGGACTTCACAGGCTGGTCCCCAGAGAGCCCAATACCTGGAGGTTCATGGGTAGTTATAAGTAGGGTTATGGGGTCCCTTTAAGGGTTCCTTGAAAGGGTTCTATAGGGTCTAGGGTTTAGGGTAGTTATAAGTAGGGTTATAAGTCCCCTAATATGGGTTATAATTATAGTTAGCTTACTTATAATTCCACTTTTAACTACCCATGAACCTCCAAGTACCCCTTTAGGGTTTAGGGTAAGCCTGGAACGAGTCAGCTGTCCTGGCGTGACGTTGCAAGCCAGTTGCAAAAAAGGGTTTAGGGTAAGGAATATCCCTTAAATTCTAGGGGCCTTAACATTATGATTTAAGGGTATATTCCTTAATTAAGGGGTATTGCGCTCTCTGAGTAGTCACCGTCGAAGGGCAGATACAGGCTCCAAGGCGCTTGTTTCGAACGCACTCCAGAGTCTGAAGATGCTGTGGTAGCTGTTGAAGCAGTCCGTCACCGGCGTGCAATGCGTCCTTGTGAAGGTGAGGACTTCGAAGCCAGTGTCTTGGAGCAAGGTGGTTGATGTGTTTCCGCCTCCAGAATCTCAAGATGCCCTTCTTCTAGCCCTTCGCTCGTGGCATGAACTAGTATCGGAATGTCAGAGATCAGGTGACCCAGACAAGCTGAGTCCCCGATTCCTTGTTGCAGGGAATTCTTTGTGAAACTTCCGGCAGTAGAACTGGCCAGAACCTCGCAAGGGCTCTTGAGAGCTCCTGTGCAGGAGGCACGGTTTGACCGTAGCCGCTTTCTAGCCCAAAGCAGCAGCCACAGTGTAGCAACAGCAACGACAGCGACCATCACAGCCACAGGGCCACCAAAGTAGTTGCCACACCGACCTCCATCCCGGATATCCTCCCTCCGAAGGAAGTAGGGCTTTGTTTAGGGCTGCGGGACGTCGTCTCAGGCGACGATGAGGAAGACCCTGACTGCTGGACCCCTGACCCCTTCGATGTGGATCCGCAGCCGCTTGCCAAGATCTCCTCTCCCGGCCGGAGGGGCGAGTCAGAGCTTGGATGCTGTTGGGCGGAGTGCTTTAGGGTCACGTTGTATGGAGGCATTCAGGTTTTGGGGTTTAGGGATAGGCTTTCGGGGTTCGCACGGTTTTGGCCTCGAAAGGGGCTCAACAGGACCGGTCAGATAGAGGCGACTTCAAGTCAAACGGCCCCCACAAACGATGCCCGCTGTACGGAAGTCGGCGTTGTGCCCACGCAACCGAGCTTCAGTCAGACTGTTGTTGATCCCAAGACATAGTTTCTTCGATGGGTAAAACCAGCGGGACAGTTTCCTAACTTCCTAGCCCTGCTTGAGGTGAGCATAATAACGCGCTCCGTTTAGTAGCGCAAGCGCAAGAAAATCTCAGATTGTCCTCTGCATACTGCACCACCTACGTCAGTACTACAGCACCGGGCCACGAAATGCTGCAGTGTTGACAGAATTTGCACATGGGCAGCGCACTTGCTGCAGTATTCCAATCCCTGAATGGTACTTGTTCAGGAGTGTGATGTATTGCCGTATTTAAGAAGTCCTGAAAGCCGTGGAGCCTGCCTGGATCATAAGGAAGCCTTCCCGACACCGACGTGCGCAGGCGCAGCTGAGGTCTAAGTGCTCAAGTCTTTCGACCCCCTGCCTACCTAACGAACAGATGTTCTTCCATCCTTAATGGTACATATTTACTTGCAGATGTATGTATGCATGTACATAGGTATGTATGTTACGTTATCTTATCTTATGCCATGTAATGTAACGTAATGTGATGTAATGTAATGTCATGTAATGTATGTATGCATGTATTATTTTTGCATGTATGCGCACACACACACACAGAGACACCAAGTATATATGTGATATATCTGCATAGAATATAGAAGGGCAAGGCAACGGCGGATGCGTGACTGGAATTGGCATTTGGAGGGCGGGGCGGGGCGGCGCTCTGTAGCGGCGCCACTGTGACAGGCTGCCAGAGGCTTAGGATTTGGTCGTGATGTCCCTTACCTTTCCTCGCAGCTGGGTGCGGAATTGGTGTGTTGGATGGGAAACTTCGCGTCTAGTTCTACTGCCTCCAGAACGATTGCCTTTGCTACATCATCTCTAAACCCTAAACCCTAAACCCTAACCCTAGCCTGATACCTGGCAGGATGTGGTGTCACTGCTCGTGGGTATCTATGGCTCCAAGGTGTGGGGAATGCATAGGATTGATGCAAGCCTTTGACTGTTGCCTTGCTGCGGATCCTACTTCTTAGGGCCCGGAAGGAAGCGGGTTTTACTACATTAGATGATCTTGGAGGTGCAAGTTCTGTTTCTTGAGTCAGCGGCCAGTTCGTTAAGTGGTGTCTTCGGACTTTCTGTCAGTCTGGATCGTGTCAAGAGTCGTGATCAGGCAGCACTTTGGCAAGGTTTCACAAACCTACGGCAGAAGCCTTAACAACCGTTAACGAACACTCAAGACTGAACCCCAGGAATCTTTCGCAGGTTGACAGTGTCGGGTTTTATCCCGAACTCTTGCTGATGCCGAGTCCGGGCCGTTGATGCTCCCGGAATCATTCGTCAAAACCCCCCCTTTGCAGGAGATGTTCATAAAGGAATACAAGGACTGCGCTTAAAGGTGTTGGTTTCAGCTGGCGGAAGGTGCGTAAGAAAGGGTGTCCTGAGATACCTTTCCAGCCGGCTTGGGCTGTTTAGAGGCATTATGATACGTCCTACACGCATCTGCCCGTGTGTGCATGCTTGTGCATGAAAACTTGAAGCGAAGACCCTACGGGAAAAACTTGAAGCAGATATCGAGGAGATGCTGGCAGACCGGCTTCTGGCCAATCCCACCTACCATGCTGAAAGGGAGATGCAAAATCTGGAGCTACTGAAGACCAGGCTGAGTTGCGGGTCCTGGTGTCTGTGAGCCCTTACAGTTAGGATTCCTTAAGAGAGGGGCCTCAACTCAATAATTACCTATATCATTTTGGGGTTCCTTACTAGAATTATACTATAAAGGCCCCCCCAAAACCCTATTCTAATTATAAAGGCCCCTACATTAGATGTTCAGCCTGATGCTTCAGGGAGGCCTTAGGAGACTGAAGGGGTCGGACTTCCGTAAGCTTTCCAGCGCCTGTCTGCTGGATGCTGGAGACAGGTTTAGGGTTTAGGGCTTAGGGCTTCTTCCTCGGTGAGAGATTTTGGCCGGAGTCCCCCCCCGTCATTGCTGCTAGATTCTATCCGGCCACTCTTGCCCTGTCAGCTACGTTCATGACTTGCCCCAGAAAGGCGTGCCTAGTTGCCAAGGGCAAGTACAGCGTACAATGCTATTCCGTAAAATACCACGCATGACATATCCTGACATCTCGGCATCGCATATCTCAGACGATCGGAGATTAAAGGCGTTGGTTCAGGTTGGCTACCGAAATAGTTCCACTAACGACAGCTATGAGCAGGTTCGGCGACGCGGCGCTTGTCCACTGCGAGGCACCATGCTCTTCGGTTCTCAGGAAGTAGTGGCTGGGTGCAGTGTATACAAAAGTACCCTAAACTCTCAAGCCCCTACCCCAAATCCGTCGACCCTGCAAATTGTCAGGTGATGCTGCAAGACATCAAGGACTCGAAGCGCATCAACGGCAGCTTGGCAGAAGCTTCCATGAGCCCCAGAAAGCTGTTACAACTCTGCACCACATCTTCGCACCGAAAATGGTGACTCCCGTGACTTGAACCGGTTTAGGGTTTAAGGGGCCTGCTCAGCTCAGGCAACGTCCAGCAGCTCAAGGGCACTGGTGGACCCCTGGGCGTCTACGGCAGCACGGTGGGGGAGGCACGTTGAACAAGGCTTGAGATGCCATGGTAGCCGTAGGTGAAAACTGCTTGTCGCGGCTCAGGGGGAGATGTGATAAGATGGTAGAATTTGAGCACCTCTCGCTCGCTCGAGGTATGTGGTTTTCCCCGTAGCATGTGCCTGGCACCTAGTCTCGATCCGAGGTCCAATCCATCCTCTCGTGCTCTCGCAGCATTACTGGCCACCCGCACTCAGCAAGGCAGATCACCCACGCTTCCGGCCGCTTGGACAAAAAGGCATCTATGCAGCCCGAGATCTTTAGCGAAGCATGCTGCAACCAAAGTGGCCTTTGTCTGCATCCAGGCTTGCCTTGGGGGCGTCTGGGAAATCTCGTCAGGCTATGCTACGTTCAAGGAAAGGGCGACCCAGTTTGTGCAATCGCCTAGGCTTCCTGCTCAGCTGGAGGATGCCTTGTCGGAGTACGGCCATGCCTACACCAAGACGAAGGCAAAACGTCACCTGTCTTGGGCAGAAGGACATACGGTTCCACAGGCTTCTCGCAGGCTGTCACAGCCTCAGCAAGGCCAAGCAAGAAAGAGTCTTCATTGGTCATTACTAAGCCTGAACGACCGCGTGTCGAATGATGATGAAGTGGAGGGGACAGCGAAGTACTCAAGGCTGACAACTGTTGAGCCAGGACTTCTCCGGTTGGATTAGGGCTCTGGCATGATGGTTTAGGGTTTAGGGTTTAGGGCCTCGGTTCCTGGCATATGCGTAGTCCAGGTGTAAAAAGGGTTTAGGGATCTGGCATGATGGGTTACAGGTATAAGGTTTCGGGTCTACGGTTTTGGGTAGACTCAGGTTCACTCCAGTGGCAACGAGCTCATGGAGTGGTCGAGATCACGGTGCTTGGTCCAGAGCCCTCGTAGATCGGGGCCTACAAGGGTTCTGCACGGGATACTTTACGAGCTTTCGGGTTTGGAGTCCGGGGACTGAAGCCTAAACCCTAAACCCTAAACCCTAAACCCTACCCTCTCAAGGTGCATCTGGCGGATCGCACGTTGGACGTGACGGCCGAAGCCTCGGAAAGTGCAGATCCGCGAAGAAAAGTCTCACCTGAACATGGAGATCCCATGACACCTTCCCTACGACCAGACCGAGGCCTCAAAACATGTGTGCTGGTTCGCTTGACGATAGACCCAAGACCCAAACCACCAAAACCGCTCCGACAACATCGGTGTGAGTAGGAGAGAAACCAGGTGTATCGGAGGACCTGATTGCACGTTGGCAGCCGAACTGCCTTACTCCGGACTGCGCGCTTCACTGCCAGCCTGTGAATGTGCAGATAGACGGGGACCGGACATTAAAGCTGCGCCGATGAAGCGCGAATTCAGTGCACTGCTCAGCCCAGTATTGCAGTTGTACTTCTTCGAAACCCTAAACCCTAAACCCTAAACCCGATTCATTGTAGAGATAGGCAAGAAGTGAGTGACACGCAGGGGTGAGGCATCGGAATCCTGAGGTCACACCGATTCACTACGCAGTCCTGGCTTGCTTCTCCGAGGCCTGCGCCGCAGGGCTCAGAATTGCACAGCACTCTTGGTGTCTGTGATCCCCGACACCGTGAAGCCCTTGAACTTAAAGTCCTCCAGCCAAAGCCCTCAACCCATAGAACATCATAGAACTCTGTAGAATCCCAATCATATGCTCGTAGAACCCTGGCTGACTGGTCGAGTGCGAGTCCCAAAAATACCCTAGACCCTTTTGTCGACGCCTTCTGGGATTTTGCAGCTCTTCCGCTCAGCCTCTGTCGGAGGCTCCCTCTGGAGACAGTACGCCAACAACAGCACCAACAAGGCCATGTATGTATGACACCTTATACATAACACATATTAACTGCTATGTATACATATGATGTAGAACATATGGTTTGGTACATGTTACGTGTTATTTCAGCAGCAACTCAACCTCCGCAGACTTTTTAGGTCCATGGTATGAGAGCATATGCTCATCTAAGCGGACACGGACTTCGACTTCTGTGGGTGAGCCGATGCTGCCGGCGAACTGGACTATGGCTTGGGGCGGTTTAGGGTCTATCGGCTCCCAAAGATTCATGCGCGGATGTTCAGAACATCCCTTGCACTTCAGAAAAGTCTGAAACCATCTAAACCCTAAACCCTAAAACCGTAGACGGCTTACATCTGACAAGAACCGGGCCGGGAGAGGCTGAGCCTCGAAGAGTTAACTTCTCAGCTCGAGCTTCCTGTTTCCTGGCAGGCAGTTTGGGCTTAGGGTTTGGGGTTTAGGGTTTAGGGTTTAGGGATCATACTGTTGATGATATAAATCCTGCATTATGTTAAGGACCCAAAACTATGGGAATTACGGTAGATTCCTTATCATGAGTAATGCAGGACTTATATCATCCACCGTCGTTGTTTAGGCTTGGGGATTTCGAAGCTTGGAGGTTGAGTTGCTTGGGGGTGTTAAGCATGGTCTGATGTACAGGCTTTTTGGATTTAGAGTGTTCTTTTCTGGGGGTTTAAGGGCTTTGGGAGTTTGGCATCTCCAGATTTTAATTGCGGGGCTTCATGATTACCATTAGGCTTTGGGTTGTTGGGGCCCGCCCCGTTTCCTGCTACAGTTCCGGCCGATGTTGAGACCGGAAAGCCAAGCCCACAGTCTTCCGCGGACAGTCTTGCCGAGAAAACCCAAAGTAGTTGATCCTAAACCCGAAACCCTAAACCCAAAGTAGTTGATGAGACTCGTAGCATCAAGAAGCCTTCGTAGAAGCCTATAGGAAGCAATCCGCAGGCTTTGTGGCTCGGGATTGAGGGTTTAGGGCTTAGGGTTTCAACTAAGGGCTTGGCTCGGTAGACACAAGCCCCGTGCAAAGATGCTGAGCTAGCGCGTGCACTCGAAGTACGAGCACAGGCATTTACTCAGCGATGCTCATGATCTTGCATATGGGAGTTTGCGAAAATAGGGGACCCTAATATAGTACCCTAAATAGTAGGATCCTTATTATAAGGACCCCCAAAATAAGGTACCCCTCATTTTAGGACATTCCCATATGATCTCACTTCCAGGCATGTGTCCCAGCTCTTGATCCAAAAGTAGCACACGCAAGCGGAAAGTGCGAAGTAGCCCTAAATAACTCACCAACTCCAACTTCCCCAGAGAGCCCAATACCCCTTAATTAAGGAATATAGCTCAAATCATAATATTAAGGCCCCTATAGTTTAAGGTATATTCCTTAATTAAGGGGTATTGGGCTCTCTGGGTTCCCAGAGTTGCAGGCAGCCTCCTTTTTCAACCCAGGCCTTTCAAACGAAGCGATGTTCTTCGAACAGTCAAACCAACCACGCAACTAAGGAGGCTCTCGTGCGGAAACGCGTGGCCTTCTGGGTGGCGAAGGCAAGGCCGCAAGCGTGACATGGTAGGCCACAGCGCTGTTCATTGAAAAGCTTCCTTCACACATATATGGGGGTTTCCGAACATAGGGGGTACCTTATTTTGGGGTCCTTATAATAGGGATCCTACTATTAGGGTGCCCTATTTTCGGAAACCCCCTTTTATGTTTTAGCTATCGCTTCGGATTTAGCCTGCATGAAGACGTGCAATGACCCCTACTTGGAGGTTCATGGCTAGTTATAAGTAGGGTTATAAGTCCCCTAATATGGGTTATAAGTATAGTTAGCTTACTTATAACTCCACTTATAACTACCCATAAACCTCCAAGTACCGTGCGCTCGACACGTGGAACCTTCTGCAAGCGCTGCCTGCTGATCCCCGGGCTCCTGCTTTCCGATGTACAGGCAGTATGCGGTTTCCCGGGTGCTGGGAGCTTAACAGCAGGACCAAACTCAATCTTGTCTCGTTTGTGTTCTTAAGGTTCGCGTTAAAGCTAGTTTGCCAAGTCCGACAGCAAGCCAAGATAGGGCTTAGGGCTTCTATCTCATCCACTATCCAACCCTACCCAGACCACCGGGAGGATCTGAAAAATAGATCCCCTAATTTGGGACCCCAACTACTAAAGGGTACTTTATAGGAACCTCTTAGGGGATCTATTTTTTAGATCCTCCCGGTGGTCTGGGTAAACCGCGACCCTGACCCCAAATCCGAATGCTGTGATGCAGGGCGTGCTCAAAGAGGTCAGCGCAAGCCTCTTCGAGTTGCAGGAGCTGTCGTGTTGGGCTTGCTCTTAACGGCTCTTCCTGAAATGGGACTTTCCGAAAATTAGGGGTACCTTATTATTTTGGGGTCCTTAGAATAAGGATCCTACTATAGGGTACTATAGTAGGGTCCCCGATTTTCGGAAACCCCCAAATCCCTCTTGAGTTCCATAAACCAGGGCCCAAGTTACAGACCCTTGATCTGAATCGTAGGGTCCACACCGGAAGGAAGCGAAAGGCTTAAGTAAGGGACACGTCAGGTTGCGAAGCCCCGGTAGCATCCCAGGGGTCTTCGGGTCGAGCTCGACCCGCTGGTTCGTATGAGGAACATCGTGCCTAATATAGAAGCCTAAATAGATACCTATATCGTTTGAGGGGCCCTTACTCTAGTTATACTATAACGGACCCCAAAACCCCATTCTAACTATTAAGGCCCTTATATTATCTGGACCATCGATGTCTTCAACGAGTGTGAAGGAGTCTGCGCCATCGGCAGACGGTGTCAATGTGGACCTTGATGCAGGCTACTTGCGGGTTTCAAGGGCTTCTCATATATACTTAGCTGTATCACGTGGCTGTATCTGTGGCTCTCTATAAAGATTGGCAATGACAAGAATAATCTTAACAACAATGGTAGCAATCATGAAACTAGCACTCGTAATAGAAGCAGCATCAGCAGCAGCAACAACAACAGCACCGACAACATCCAATGTGCTAAGACACTACATCATAAAATACGAATGGAACGCCATCCAATACAGTATGATACGGTACGGCACAAGTTATATGTGTGTGTGTATCTTTACATGTACATATATGTAGTATATACATGTTCATGTACTGATTGGACTAGAAGGTGTGTGCTGTGTTACGTAACCTTCAAGATATCTGAGTGCACGACTTTCAGACGTTGGCCTTCAGAAGGGTTTTGGGATTTAGAGTTTGGAGGTTTGACATTTGAAGGGTTTAGGAGTGGGTAGACATTACAGGCGCCTCAACACCACACCGCCACGGGAAAGCATGGAATTGGCACTGGGTGCAAGAGTCTTTAACTTAGGAGCCCAATAGGTGAGCTTTAAACTTTTTTGGTATATTAAACCCCTACTAAAAGAAAAGTTTAAGCTTTTTTGGGCCAGGTTATTGGGCTTAAAGGGTCTTTAAAGTCACAACATCAACCCTAGAGTCTGACACACAAGGTCCTGCGGAGAATGGGCTTTTCAAACAGACAACTCTGAAAGGTCTACATCCCTGAAGCCCTGAACCCCTAAACCCCAAAGCACCCAAACTCCCAAGCAAGCTTTAGAGCATAGAAAATCCCCGAGAAAGCCCGAAACCCTAAACCGAGCCCTTCTAGTACCCTTGTAGATCGCTTATTCAAGCAAGCCCCGTGTAATCTTATTTAGCTGCTGATTGGTAGTTCTACCGATTCCGGTGCTGGAATTCGTCCTACCGCTGGCACTCCTACGACGACTACGACGACTGTCACGACTCAATGTGCTAGTATTTCGATTCACCAAGTTAGCTCGTGCGGTAATAGACACCCGCACAAAAACCATTAATAAGAATGCATAACTGTCGCTGACACAGTTACAACTGCGCAGTGCTAGCATCTCTGGTTCGACAATGGGTGCAGTCCTAAACCCTGAACCGTTTAGGGTTAGACGTATAATAACCATCATAGTAACCCTTCTACCTATAGTCTCCATTGTAGTCCCTTTTTTGGTTTAACTAATCATATATTCAGGATTCTATAAGGTATCCCCAAAAAGGAACTACAATGGAGACTACAGGTAGTACCTTGAATTCCAGGACCCACTGTAAACCCTAAACCCTAAACCCTAAACCCTGACCGAAGCCTGAGGTCACCTGGACGACGACACCGAGTCCCCAGGGCCTCCTCTCCATGGCGCGAGCCGCGAGGTGAGTTTCTGGGTTTCGGCTTTTGAAGTTCTGGGGTTTAGGGTTTAGGGTTTAGGGTTTAGGGTTTAGTTCTGGGGAAAAGAGGGGTGAAAGAAGGAGGTCTTAGGGTTTTAGGCGCAGGTTAGGGGCTTTTGAAATTTTGGGGCCTCTGGAAGGCTTCACGGCTCAGGGAGCTTTGTTTTTGGCATTTGAGGTTGAAGGTTCCGGGCGTGTTGTAGAGGGCCAGGTTTTGCTTGGTAGCTGAGTACGAAGCCGGTAGAAGGTTTCTGCCGAGGCGATCAGGGCCCTGGCTCGTGTCAAGATCATGCTGGCCCCTTGAGCTGCATACAGCCAAAGCCCAACAACATGTCCATAATCCTTAAACCCTACACCCTAAACCCTGAACCCTAAATCCCTAGAACCCTAAACCCTAAATCCCTAGAACCCTTAAACCCTGAACCTTAAACTTCAACCTGTGAAACGTCCATGCTTCGGAGGCATGTTCCAAGGAACTACGGGCCTGCGAGCTCCTTGGCTAAACGATTCCGGCATCCAGCGCGCGAGCTTCCTTTCTGATTTCGATTGACCTGAACTGCAGTCTTCGGCATCCCAAAACCACCCCAGAGAGCCCAATACCCCTTAATTGAGGAATAGTACCTTAAATCATAATATGAAGGCCCCTATAACTTAAGGTATATTCCTTCATTAAGGGGTATCGGGCTCTCTGGGACTAGGCCTGCAGAGAAGTATCCGATCGGGCTTAGATCCTCAGGTCTTTCCTGCAAGGAATGCTCAAGAATTACACCACGCAGCCCGGCATGCACTTTCGGTGGACTGCCTTGGCTTGGGAGCGTGGGTTCTGCTTGGTGGACAGGGATGTCATGTTCATGCATGGGGGTTCCTACTGGTACTATTTTTCTGCTGTGGCCGGGAGAAGGCCCCGGAACCCATGTATACGACCTCCACGCAGGCTTTCAGCCAACGCCGCAGTAAATAGGCATAGGCCGTTTAGCAGTTAGGACGCCCCCAGCGCAACACCCCTTCATGAAGGAGAAATGTTTAAATTCATGGAGGGCGCAAGTTTATGATGGACGGGTTCTTTGATTGAGGGGCGCTTGGCTTCGTGGATTGTTACGGGAAGACTTTTGGGGCACTATAGGAAGACGACATGCCTTAAGCCCTACATGGTACACGGGGGAGACTGCGCCCGAGGCTGTCTTTGAGCCGCATCCACAACTTCTTGCAGAGGCCGGAGCTGCAAACCCCGGGAATCGTCTAAGCAACCAACTTTCAATCGCAACGTCGGCCGAAGCGTCACGTCCAACAGCTGAAACCTAAACCCTAAACCCTAAGCAGTTCGATCTTTCGTCTTCGGAACCCTGAACATCCTAAACCCGCCTGGAAGAACCGTGACGAACACGTTGCACGGAGTGCGCAAGCATCCACTTTCATAAGTCACACTGTTGTCGCGATTTCGGATTTCGGGCTTAGGGTTAGGCGGTCGAGGGCTCGGGGATTTCAAAAAGGGGAGTCAAGCCATTACCTGGAGGTTCATGATGGAGCCTGCCTACACACAGAGCGAGGCACAATTGCGGGAGCGTCTTGGCGGCCCCCTTACCTACCCACCTCCTGCACCCAAGTCCTCCCACCTGCGTACCCATGCACGCCCACATACCTGCCTGCCTGCCTAAAAAAACCGACCTACCGACTGCTGAGCCTGGCCTACCACAGAGACCATGAACAGCAATCAGAAACGTAATAGTTGTGTTTAGAGATTTCCGATTGCTATATAGTATAAGCGCAAAAGTCACACAAGTATAAAGGAACAAAGAATGTAAGAACGGCAGTGGGGATTTGAAGAACATGAAACTTTCTAAGTAAAACCACAGGCGACCTGTAACAACCTTTTCACACGCCGCACGACTTTCTGCTCATAAAGGAAGGCGGAGGTCGTGGAAGTCGAGATCGCCAGGGGGGCGCGCAGCGACTGAGGATTTTCCAAACCCTAAACCCTAATACCTGATTGAAAAATTGAGCCCGCGAGGGATCCCATCAACGGCTCAGAGTATTCTCTATAATTGAACTGGCTGGGAAGATCTTTCGAAGTCACCTTCCTTGCCGCCTTGCCCTTGAAGCTTCGGCTTCGGGTGCCGACGATTTTCGGGGAGCACTTGGACTTTGTGCTTCCCGAAGCAAGCCCTGGGCATCAAGCCGTGAAGCTGTAAAGCTGTCGCATGTTTTGGGTTTAGGGTTTAGGGTTTAGGGTTTAGGGGGGGTGTACCAACCCTGGCTCTTAGCCCCTTCATCAAGGAGCAGATGTTTAATCTATAGTACCATGGATCCTTCTATACAACCATGATTTAAGGTTCTCAATTTATGACGGGAGTCGGAAGCTCTGTGCTTGAACCCTACACCCTGCAACCCTAAATCTTAAACCCTATGCATCAAATTGCCCTGCAATGTGGGCATGTCTTTGTCAGGTAGGAGGGGAAAGAACCTAAATCCTAAATCCAAAAAACCCTAAGCCCTAACCCTTAAATCCTGAACCTAAACCCCTAAATCCTGAACCCCACAGCCGCTCAGCGCGCCGAGGTTTCTGGCGCAGCTCGTCCAGCAGGGCACCCTCGAGTTCGACGGCTCCAGTTTCCAAGTTTGCATAGCTTTGCAGAGATTTGGGTTACTGTAAAACAGAAGCCGACAGTTACCTGCATTATTCCGTAGGGTTCCTGTTCATGAGTATTCGGAAAGTACAATAGCCCACCTCAGCCTCTAGTGGGTTTGTGAGGGTTTTGAGGTTTCGGCCTAGATGAAGTTCCTAGCGACCTGCGGAACAGAAGCCTACTAAAGCAGAGCTCGGGCCAGGGTGTCGTGTGTATGAAGTCGTTTAACACTTCGGGGGCCATGTGGGGGTTCCCAAAAATAGGGGACCCTAATATAGCACCCTAAATAATTGGATCCTTAATATAAGGACCCCAAAATAAGGTACCCCGTATTTTGGGAAACCCCCATGTGGAAACATGAGGTTATGCTCTCGCGCAAGCTGCCGTGAGCTGACACTGCCTGAGGCCCCTCAAAGGTAGGGGCCGCGAATTCAGGCGCTGGATTATTTGTCGGCCCTACTTGGCACAAGGCCAGGAGAGGATGATGGCGATGTGGCCTGAAACAAAGATGAGTCTGCCTGACATGGCACTTCCAGTATCTTGCCCTTGTGCCACGATCAAAGGACAATGTCTGCTCGAGTCAGTTCACCTCAGAGCCCTAAGCCCAAGATCCTAAGGCTTTCTAAAACTTGAGATAGAGAGCTTGCAGCGAGAGCCGCATTTGCGACGAGGCAGTATCTCCAGAGGACAAGTTAAGTCAGGTTGGAAATAGTTGTTGGGTTTCTCGGGCTTAGGTGTTTAGTGTTTCTGGGCTTGGGGTTTAGGGTTTAGTGGTTCTTGGTTTCCGGGTGTCGGGTTTCTTAGTGTCGGGTTTCTGGGTGGGCTTTGTAGCTCTTCTTTATGCTTTCATATGGGAGTTTGAGACCGATAAGGGGACTCGATTGGAGACCAGGAGCAGTAAAAACCGCATTACTAGCCATGTCTTCAGAACGTTAAGGCAAAACTCTTCGTGCCGACGACAGGGCTTCCAGATGTCCGATCACGATCATCTGAACCTCTGCACTTGCCTCTCAGATCCACGAACTTGTGAGAGAGCCCCCTTGTTCAATGTACAACACTACTGTTCGATCAAATCCAGCACAAGCCCCTGACCCGCTTCCCTCGCTTTTCTCCTGCAGGGAGTTTCCTTCTGCTCGCCAGAATTGCAGGTTTCCTTCTCCCTAACCCCCCAGGTACCTACTATATAGGGTACTAGAGCCCCTAGGGCCCTATGTAGTAGGTTCCTGGGGGGGTTAGGGTCTGCTCGCCAGAATTGCAATCTTCACTAAGGCCTGTCCGCCGCAGCGAGCGCGGCACGGCGGAGCCAGCTGAGGGCAACCGGACCTCTGAAAAGCGGCTTTTGCAAAGAGGAGGCCTGGCCCTAAACCCTAAACCGGAACCGTACCTAAGCTCCTGAAGTCCGACACCCCAAACTGCCACATAACCCCTGAAGCTCCGGAGAGTGCATGTCGCACAAGAGGCTGGCTTGCGCCGAAGTTTGAGGGCCTTCGGGCTTAGGGCTTACTTGTATGGGTTGGGGTTGTGTGGCCCTTTGGGTTTCTTGGGTTTTGGAATGAAATTATCACTGCAGCGTGGATGGATTTGACGAGCTAGACCGTTCTGGGTCGTGACCGAAACGCCGTGCGCGATGCCGCGCTCCTTGCAAAGGTTGGGCCTTAAACATGCAGGCTTCTCATAAATTATAAGTCACATTGCCCCTAGGAGCTCCTGTGAACAAAACCCTAAACCCTAAACCCCTAAACCCCAAACCCTAAACCCTAAACCCAAGCCCTCTTTTATGGTCTCAACTGCCTGAAAAACGTCCGAAGACGCTTGACCTCAGCTGCTCGAGCCTTCGGTTCGCCTTTGTGGGGCCCCGACTGCGCCGACTCGGCTTAGGGTCCAAAGGTATAAGGGTTTAGGGTTTAGGGTTTTAGTTTTGGGTCATAAGGGTTTCGGGTTTTAGTTTCTGGGTATAAGGGTTTTTGGTTTTAGTTTTAGGGTTTGAGCTGGAACCGGGTTTTGGGTTTGAGGTTTAGGGCTTAAGCTGGAACTTCCTGGAACCAATCGCCCTTACACCTTGCAGCAACCGTCCCAGGCACCAGGAAGCGACTGATCAGTCACTCATCATAGTCCTTTTCATGTAAGACAGATCAACAACAGTCTAAGGCTCTAGAGTTTCTCGCCACTAGGAACCGCCAGGGATTCCCACCATCCTGTTTTAGGGAGTTACTCTCTCAAGGTCCTCTTCCTAGCAGTTCATAGATGTATACACATACCCTGGCATAGACACATGGAGCTTCATACATGTGCATGTAAACATGCATGCATGATGCATAATTATGTATGTGCAAACATGCACAAGTACATGCATACATTCATACATACATGCGTGTGGTTCGATCTTCGGCCCGCGTCATCCCCCGGTGTGTTCGGTCTCTAATTCAACCATTTTGAGATCGACATGTACCATTATTTCATGGAAACGCCACATGGGCGCAAGGCGTCCGGAGCTGAGTTCAGAGGGATAGTGTTTCCGAAAATAGGGGACCCTAGTATAGTACCCTAAATAGTAGGATCCCTATTATAAGGACCCCAAGATAAGGTACCCCCAATTTTCGGAAACTGCCACTTCAGTGCAGCAGATTCAGAAAACCGGGGAGGCCTCCTGAATTCTCAGTAAAGCCATCGTTAAAACATACAGCGGCACCCTAAAACCCAAACCCCAAACCCTAAAGCCGTCGGTAGTGTAGTGTGGCCTCAAACCTTCGCCTCAAGCAAGAACGTTTTTTTCATGAATTTTTGTTATTTTGTCCTTTGTTTTGCTGGTTGCTAACTTTGCTGTGTCTTCCTTTATCGTCGCTTCTGACTGACATGCTTGAAGGCGCAAGGTGGTTGTACATACTTCATTCCGTATGATAACCTTTTGCCCTTCCGGGTTATCCGAGGGTTTCGTTCGGGCTAGAGGGGCATGGTCTTCAGTGTGCTGCTGGACACAGGAGACTCGACGCCGACGTAAGCTCCGTTGTTTACTGGTTGTAAGGTGTGTGTGGCCTTTTGGGAGTTTCCGAAAATTAGGGGTACCTTATTTTGGGGCCCTTATAATAAGGATCCTACTATTTAGGGTACTCAATTAGGGTCCCCTATTTTCGGAAACCCCCTTTTGTGTTCGGAGCATACGTCGGGCCTTGACTCTCCACTTCAGCTCAACAGTCCAACGTTACTCCCTGCGGTGCGACATAGTCAGCTGGGCCGGTCGGGAAAAAAAACGCTAAACCCTAAACCCCTAACCCCTAAACCCGAAACCCCCCAAACCCTAAACCCCTAAACCCCTAAACCCCAAACCCCTAAACCCTAAGCCCCAACCCTGGAATCCTCTCCGGTCTCACCACCAAAGGGCACTTGGAGAATCGGCTCCCAGGCTCGAGGGCCTCCTTCCTGACGTTCCCAAGAGCGCCGAGGCACCGCTACCTTGCTGTGGTTTAGGACTTTGAGTTTAGGGTTTAGGGTTTTGGGTTTTGGGTGTAGGGTTTAGGGTTTAGGATTTAGGGTTTAGGGTTTAGGGTTAAGAAGACTACCTGGGACTCTAATTACCTACAGTCTTATAGGTTTTACCTACTAATCAAGGGGTAATGGCTGCTAAACTGGTAGGCAAAGAGAGTTACAGGTAATACTAATGTACTAACTTTAGTAGGACTAATACTAGTAAATATTAACACTCATACGACTATAAGATTCATATTAACATTAATAAGACTATGATGTGGATATTAACTTTAAGACAAATGTTAATGTTAATCTTGATGCCCCCATGTCGTTCTCCGAGAGACAGAGCTGCCCTTGCTGTTTCCGAAGCTGTGACCGCCACCTCCTCCAGCACGAAAACGGCTCATGGTCACACACTTCTGTCGCTGCTTCTCCTGCTCCTCGTCTTCACATTTTATGCAAACAGCGTAAATCCGGGGGAATGCAGTAATAGCGCTGCGGCAACGGCTGCTACGTTTGCTGTGTTTTTGATATTCCAGTACAGACTCTCTTAACCAAGACCCCAACCCAAAACACCCTGGGTCCTAAAAAGAATTCGGTCAAGCCCTTAAGGAACTCTTTACAAGCTCTTAAACCCGCGCTGACCCTAAACCCTAAACCCTAATTAGGGTTTAGGGTTTTCCCTAAACCCTAAACCCTAAACCCTGAAACTGAATTACCGCCAGGCCAGCGCCACGGACGAGAAGGCTCCAAATAGCCCGTCTCCGCCTCCGCCAAGGCCCCCCTTGATGGATTCTCGTAGGGATTGCTACAAGGTTTAGCGTTTAGGGTTAGGGATTGCTACAAGGGTAGTTCTCTAAACTAGGGTCCTTTTTTGGGTCCCCAATATAGTACGGCACCCTTATAAAAAGGACCCCAAATGGAACCCTAATTTAGAGAACTACCCACAAGGGTTTTTTGGAGCTAGAGGGCTGTAGATTCTTGTGGCTATCGGGGCTTTGATTTCAGGGTGCTCTTGCGTGTTGTCGCGGCATTGTTGAAGGTGGTCGGGAGACAGGTTTGTGCAGTGCAGTTAGGTGGCCCTGGATATGCCGCACCCCTGGGCAGGAAAGTGTGCAAAGTCCACAGGCAGGCACCCAGCGGGGAGACCCAGCAGTTCCAGAAGAAGCACAGCGACGATGCCTGCCATAGGCAAATCCTGGAATCCCGGAGCATGCTCGATCGGAAACACAGAGGGTGGGTTTCACCATTGCAAGAATGGGTCCATGTGCCGATGTCAACTTTCGCCTGTTTATCTAAGCCCAGCGTAGCTCTCTCTTGTTGGCATTCAGCAGCCTGACCATCTGCACCTCGCTTCGAAACTTATGCGTGCCTGACAAGAACCCCGGAAGCTAGGACTGCGCACGTCCCCCGAGGCGACCGCTATGCGGACTGGGAGAGGCCACTGGGGGCGCATGAAGTGCAAGGGTTTAGGGTTCAGGGTTTAGGGTTTGAGAGGAAACAAACGGACGGGAATGATGATAACCCTGGCCGACACCAGCATAGCAAGAGAAGCTGCAACAGCTGTCGGCAACGATGTCAACGCAGCTACAACATGCTACAACAACACGGCTTATGGAGCCGAGGAGAGTGTCAACGAGAACGCTGAGACTGACGCTGGATACCACAGCAACAGAAAGATGACCAGAGAGCGACATGAGCAGCTGCATTGAAACTGACAGAGGCATCAGAGATCCTAGTAACTCTGGATATTGAAAGTTTGCGTCGGGGTTCCCCTATTTCTTGACCCACATGACCCAGCGGCGACGACCATGATTTAGTCAAGCTGCGCATCCCTCGGTCGCCCTGAACCCGAACACCCGCCGGTCGTGGGGATTAAGTCAAAAGACTTTTCTTGTGTGATAGCGGAATCTTCCCAGAGACTCCAATATCCCCTAATTAAGGAATATACCTTAAATCAGATTAAGGATCCTACTATAATTTAAGGAATATTCCCTAATTAAGGAATATTGGAGTCTCTGGGTTGAAACTGGCCCAACCCCAGGATCCGGAATGCTGACACTCTCAAAAGCTCCCTGAAAGCCGATAGGCCGACAACAGTTGCCGAGGCGCATGGCTGTGCACATGTTGGCGATGTCTCATGTGTTCGTTCTGGCTAGCTTTTCCCAAAGTTGCGAGGAATGTAGCTCCGAGTCGTCGTCGTCGTAGTCCTGTTCATTCCTGTTCGTAGCAGTAGCAGTAATAAGTAGTCGTCACCGCCGTCGTAGCAGTATTAGTAGCAGCAGTGGATGCTAAAACCACATTCGTAGCCATCGGCGAGAGCAAGTTGCATTATTTGGCCGCAGCTTTCTTCCGCATTGAACTGCTCACATGAGGAAAAGGTTTCGTCAAACAGCAGGCGCCGACTGGAAACCTGGCCATAGACAGTTGTCGCCTAAACCAAACTCGCACAGCAGAGTCAGGCTATGTCCGTTTGCACCGGCGCTGCTTAGAACTCGCCCTGTGCAGGTAAAGCTAACATCTGTATGGGTGGTTGTCAAAATTATGGTCCTTTTTTGGGTCCTTATTATAAGACGGCACCTATTATTTAGGGTACCCCAAAAGGGACCATAATTTTGACAACTACCCACATCCGAACTGATGGCTCCCTGGACCTTTACCCCTTGGGGCGAGGAGAACTTGTGGTTTAGTGAATTTACCAAGGCAGATCCTACCTCCCCCGAGCAACAAGGAGTCTAAGCAAGCTGTGAGGCTTTAGCGGCAATTTGCCCGCAAGCGTAAGAGTAGGGAGCTTTGTGCCGGTACCACTTTATTGCCATGTTGCATTCCGGCGGCCCTCGTGCGGCGCAGCACGACAGGAGGCACTGTACGTATTGGAAGTGCTTGTCTGGAGTACAAGGATGAGCTTCGCATCTGGATCGCTCAGAACCAGGTCTTCCCTTCCTCTGAGACTCTTTTGGCGAGCTTCTGTGGCCCTTATGGCTACTCGCTGGCTTGCAGCAGGTGCGACCTTTGCTGCATGACGGTTAGTGGCGCAATGCCGGAAGTTGGGTTTGTTTCGATAGCAGTAAGACTTTCACAATGCACGTTTCGGCTCGCACAGGCGATCAACCTAGCATTGTTTTGCTACAACACGTGAGATACTCACGTACTGGAGATTAGAACAGCTCCGCGTACAGGTGCATCGACGGGTGAGATTACTTGGAGGTTCATGGGTAGTTATAAGTAGGGTTATAAGTCCCCTAAAATGGGTTACAATTATAGTTAGCTTACTTATAACTCCACTTATAACTACCCATGAACCTCCAAGTAGTGTGATCCATTTGATTCCATTTTCTTGCGGCCAGCAGAGATTAATCCGACCTGTTCGAACAAAGACGTTAGCAATGATTGTGAGGCTTATCGTTGTTACTACTGGTGTGTTTGCTATGTGGTTGTCCATGTCTATTCAAGTTTGTGTGGCCCGGAACCTGCATCCATGTCTGGACAGGAAAATCAGAGCGGCCCTCGTGACAGATGAAGACTGCGAAAACCTATCATGACGGCGCATAAGACTTCGACGTGACGGCTCTAGCAATGGCACAGAGCAAGATAGTCTTAAAGATGGGAAGGTTCAAAGCTGAGGACAGTGCAGAACAGCACTAGTTGTAGTCGGCGCAATTATCGTCGCGGCAGTCCTCTTGCAGCAACAGTAGCTACCACCGAGAACTACGAGCATGACAACAAGACGAGGAACCATTCGTGATGACGAAAACAACGACATCAAGATCAGCCATCCCTACAGTATGTTGAAAAAAAGGAAAGTCAGCTAGATCAGCAAGGAACCGACTACTACTTCGAGACTCCAGTTGTATGTAATCTCTGACCGGGAGGCTTTCGAGGTGCCAGCTTTGCTGTGACGACGCCTTCGGGGCGCAAGCTGCCAAAGTGCTTTGGCACGCGAAACTACTTGAGACAGACAGAGTAAACTTTCGTAATGACGCCCCGAATTCAGCAATAGCAGTAATTCCAGTGGGGCTAGAACAGTGCCTAGTGAATGAACAAAGTCATAGTGAAACCTACTAGTTGGAGACTGCGCTGACAATTGCTGAAATGGTCAAGGATTTCTCAGGTGTGTTTCTTGGCAGATGGTTGCGCGACTGCTCCGCGTTGCTATTGCAACTGCAGTGCCGTGGAAGTTAAACGACCTTGGGAAGGATCTCGTTTGAGGCTGTTACATGCGAGCACTCCTCTCCATGCGCGGACAGCCGAGATTTCGTCCGTCGTCGCCAGCATTGCCAGCAACACACAGACATTCCATCATTTGGCCTAATCGATGCAGTTGTTTTCCTGCTTAGGTTCCTCAATCGCATCCGTGATGGGTTTGAACCGAATTCTCAAGTGTGGACTGAAACCTTGGCTGTCCCCATTTCCTCGAACCTGCAGGAGACCAAAGAATCTCGGCAAGAAGCAGGACTGGTCTGTGCCGGAAGAGGGACTAACTGTCTACTGGCTGGAAACCTCGACGTTGCAGAATTTTGCGTGCGAGCCCGCTTTGGAGCTTTTGATTCGGGGTTGCGCATGATCCGACGCGAACTGCCCGCCTGCTGACCTTGACCCTCGCCCATCCCCTCAGGGTGAGCACTGTAGTTAGGATGTAGGCAGTTATAGGTGTTATAATGTTACAGGTGCTTCGGGTAGATTCCTGCTTTCGCCGCTTCCCTGCTTTGTTTCAGATCTGTTGCAAGGAGTACGATGTGCCTGGAACGCTGTATCAAGGCGGCCGGCGAGGTATCCAGCCACCGGATGCTGATTATGGGTTAAGGATGGTTTAGGGTCAGAGGGCCGTGGCCGGCTCCTGGCACCTCCCAGGTCCTAGCACACCCTCACGTCTGCAATGAGGGGGACTGCCAGCGTCCCTACATCCCGGCGGAACCCTAAACTCCCAAACCCGGAAGCCCATGTCCCTGGCCTTTTGGTGATCAGGCTTTAGTATGTTGATCATACGGGCATACCTGGGGCTTCCAGCCCTCAGATCTCTCATGCTGGCTGTGGTAGTTGATGATATCCTGGACTGCTTATGCCCTAACCCATACTTTGTGTGTGATGTAGCTCAGTCATGACCCGAAATGCGGAACAAGGCATCTTGAGACACAGGACCTTTGCGTGGGATGGACAAAGGCTCTCTACTAGGTTTCAATACTATGCCGGTGCTGGTTGTGTGGCCTTCCCCTTCTGTCAAATCGTTGTCTCACTCAGCCGTCTTATGACCACATTCCTCGCCTGGACTGTCCGAGTCTGAACGCCGAAGCTCAAAAACCCTAGCCAGTCGTTTGGACAGCGGATAGAGGCTGCCCAGAGACTCCAATATCCCTTAATTAAGGAATATACCTTAAATCATATTAAGGATCCTACCTTGATTTAAGGATAATATACCTTAATCAAGGGATATTGGAGTCTCTGGGTGTTACCGGATTCACTTCGAGTCGAACTGAGGTTCTTCCTCGGAGACATGGTCGAAGTGCAGCGAGATGGAACGTGGGCCTCGAAGACTCTAAGGTTGAAAGCTTTTCCGAATGGGGGGTTTCCGAAAATAGGGGACCCTAATATAGTACCCAAAATAGTAGGATCCTTATTATAAGGACCCCAAAAGAAGGTACCCCTAATTTTCGGAAACTCCCAAAAGGGCTGGATAGCAATGAATTGTCGGAGTGTCGGGAAATCAGGGGCCCTTATTGTACTACATTATGATCAGGATCCTGCTATCCGGGGTTCTACTTAGGAAGTTCGTAACCCTCATTTTCTGAAAGTCCCTATTCGCTTACCCAGCAGCCAAGACTACTACTTGCGTGCAACTTGGACTTTTTTAGTAGGCTATGATGTAATCCCAGTTGGGGGTCCTTGACATCCCCAATAGCAAACCTTGCGACCACAGGCTGAGCTAGACAAAGATAGTTTGTTGTCAATGCTACCCTGCCGAAAGATCGGAAAGAGCCTGAGGTGGGAACAGCCGGCAGAACTGTCAGATCACCTTGCGATAGACAGTGCTCCCAGGTGGGTCACTGCGCGAGTGTCCCGTGCACCGACGGATGAGCGGCCCAACGACGGCTCCTTCCGTGTGCCTTGATTTGATGCTGTATACCCCTTAAGTAAGGAATATATAGCTTCAACTACTATATTATGGCCCCTATCATTCAAGGTATATTCCTTAATTAAAGCCTATATAGTATTCTGTGCTCACCTTGCCGGGCCGCCCGAAACCCAAGACATCAAGCCCTTAACCCATTTCTGAGTGAGTAAAGTCACGGCCTGTCGACTGAATGCCAGGCTTGCACGACTTATTTGCATAGTGCAGACTATCATTCAGATGTCTATCATGCAAGGTAGTCTGCTTCGCAAATCCCTTGCCACTTCCTCCTCATTTCTGGAACTTCCGCAGATCTGCCCAGGTCAAATTCGACATGGATGCATATGAGATGAAGTGTTGGTACCGTGATCTCAGGACGCCAATGCATTTCTCAGATCAAACTTCCTAAGTTGGTTTTGGTGCGCGATGATGACACAGTGGCTTGCACTTGTCGGCTAAACGTTAACCTGACCTTGAAACCTAATTCGAGAGGGTTCAACGGGTTCAACCTCAATCACCCACTCCTGCATCCAGCAACGTGGCTTGCAGAGCAGGAAGCCGAAGAATCCGGACAAAGTGCCGATGCCCGACTGGGTACAGGATTGGTGGCCGGAGGAGCCAAGAGAGCGGGTGGTTGCATGTCGCTGCCATCACTCTACACGGGTCACGTCTGCGCATTCATCCCTTTGCCGTTTTCATCTGAAGGGCTCAAAGTAAGGAAAGGACAAGCTCGTTGAACTGGCTTCTCACGGTGGCGGTTATGATATTCACGCTTGGCCTCGAGAACTTATGTTGTTCCAGGTAGCACTCTCAAGTTGACTATGGTGTTTGTCTATGTTTGCCGCTACTACTGCTGCCACTGCGACTACGAAGACTGCTGCTACTGCTGCAAACCAACACTGCGACTACGAAGACTGCTGCTGCTGCTGCTGCTGGGACGACCACAACGACGATGGCGACGAGCGCGGCGATGACGACGACGGAGTCGACGACCACGACTGCGGCTGCGACCAAGACCACGACCACAAATAACCAATACCACCTCGAGACTTCGACGACCATCAGTGCTATGAGTGTTGCTGATGAAGTCAATACTGTACCGAGGACCGTGACTGTTCGTGATCATGCTGCTTACCCTCATCACACAAAGCGTCATGTCGGCACCTGTTGTGATTGTGAATTTCGAATCGCATCGTGCAGGAGCCAGCGCCAGAACCTGACTACGTTGGGAATGAGCCTCCCGCCATTTCACGGTGAAGTGGAGTACCATCCGTCTCCGTTCTAGCTGAGCACCCCAAACCTTATGTCGACTTAGTCCCTCTTCTCCGAAGATTCCTTATATCACCTGCTAACATACCCCATCGCCCGGAGACGTTTCTGCGCACACCTTGTTGCTCAGGTCTGACCCAGAGCTCAACTTTGTTATCAAGGGCCCTTTTCCCAAAGAGTACACAGAAGAGGACGGCTTCCAGAAAGCCATGTTTATGGTATATGCTTTCCGAAAATTAGGGGTACCTTATTTGGGGATCCTTATAATGGGGATCCTATTATTTATAGGGTAGTATATGAGGATCCCCTATTTTCGGAAACCCCCATATGCAAAATGCCTTCATGTCCAGAACTGGCAACCACCTTGGATCCGAAAGTAGCAGAGTTGGCAGGAGGGAGCTTCAGAAAGCGAGTAACGCTTGCAGTCAGAAACCACCTGTTAACATGGATAAGTATATAGCACATATTTATATATATATATATAT